TCCTGGTAAAAATTTATTAAATAATAATTAATTATCTTTTTTAATTAATCGTGTCTATAATATGCGTGATTTATTAACCCCCCCCCCCTTATAGGATTGAAACTTGTTCACGTTGCAACATATGCAAATGGTGATCCAGAGCCTAAATATTATCCAAATCCAAGTTACGGTACTCATAAAGCTTCATTAGATGTTTATAGGAATGCAAGTTTAAGAATTTTTAAAATTTTTATGAGATATTGTAATATGGTACAACGTGCAAGTGTTGATGAGGCTTATCTGGATGTAACAAATATTGTTAATCAAAGAATCGTGGAAAGATATCCAAATCTTTTATTACCAGAAAATTTAGAAGATGGGGAAGAAGTTCCACCTATTTTAGATTGGAATGGATTAGGAGTGTTGTATAGAAGCCAAATAAATAATGATATTGAAAATAATAATAACAATCCAATTGAATATTTGGATGAAATCTATAGTAATGGAAATAATGAAAATATTAATAATGATAACATTAATAATAGTAATAATAGTAATAATAATGAACAAAAGTCTGGTTTAGATCAATTTTCATATAATGATGAATCAAAAGGTTGGGATGATATGCAACTTTATATTGCAGCAGAAATATCAAAAGAAGTTAGAGAAACTATTTTCAACGAATTGGGATACACATCTTCTGCAGGAATCGCGCATAATATGACGTTAGCAAAGTTATGTTCAGCATTAAATAAACCAAATATGCAGGTAATGATTTATATGATATTGTAATGAATAAACGGCTATATAATATATTTTATGCTTTCTCTTTAAATCATTATTTCATCTTATTTATATATTGCATTTTTAAAAGACTGTTATACGATCTAGCCAAACATTGGGTTTTATGCAAAATTTGCCATTTCAAAAAATTCGTAAGCTTGGTGGTAAATTAGGAGCTGAAGTTGGTAATATTTTGGGGATAGAAACTGCAGGAGAATTATGGTTTGTGATTTAATAATACTAATGTAGTTTTTCTTAATATATAAAAAGTTAATATCTATTATTTAATTGATTGATTATAGGGGTTATTCAGTAAGCGAATTACAAGCAAAATTTGGGATGGCATATGGTGTTTGGCTTTACAATATATGTAGAGGTGTTGACAGTGAAGAAGGTTACTATTATTCTTTAATTTCTTTGTATAACTAATAAATCCATTTAAATTTATTTTTAAGAAAATTTATATGTATTTATATTATTAGTTGTTCAAAGAAATATCTCAAAATCAATGATGGCAGCCAAATCATTTAAACCACCATTAAAAAGTTTATCCCAAGTTGTACACTGGTGTAATATTTTAAGCTCTGAATTATATAAAAGACTTTTAGATGATTATGAAATAAATAATAGATGGCCAAAGACTCTTACAGTAAAGTTAATTTCTTATTTTGTTAGTTGATTATTAATTATTGAACTTGATATTTTAATATTTTGTTTTCTGTTTTTTAGATACAATATAAGTGTATTAATGATTCAACATCGCACTCTAAATCTTGTACATTTCCTATTCGGTCAGAAGTTGATTCACCTGATTTAATTTCAAAAAGGTTATATGGTCTTCTTGGAAATTCAGATAATTTGTTTCCATGTTCAAGATTATCAGCTTCAGCTATAGGTCTAATTAAAGATCAGCTTACTGGAACGATGGATATTACTAAATTTATAACAAAAAAATTGCCAAATAATAATGATTCTTTTGGAAACAATAGCCATAATAATAATAATGTTGTAACTGATATTGATGATGAAATGAAATTAGAATCCTCGCACACTCAAGGATCATCAATTAACCAAGAACCGCTAATTAATCAACAATTTTTAATCAATCAAGAATCACTATTTACTCAAAAATCTTTAGTCAATCAAGAACTATTAATTAATCAACCTTTTGTAATCAATTCCAGTGCTGCTACACTCAATGGATCTTCTGATTTCCAAATTATTTCTGAAAATGCCCAATCATCATTACCATCAACCAATAATATCAATGTAAGTATTAAAAGATTGAAATGTTCATGTAAAAAATATAAATTTATGCAAATCAGCATTTTATCAAGAATAGTTTTCCAGGAACTAATTATTCAACTAACAATAATGTTAAATGGTAGTAAAAAATCAAATATTTTAATATTATCAAGATCTAATTTATAAAAATTTTCAAAGTTAAGGGAATCTTCTACTCCAAATTTGAAAACTACAAGATTGCTCAATATGAAACCCGCCACTACCACAGGATTAAGATCATCATCTACATCAAAATCAAAATTGAAGTCATCATTTAAAAAAAAATCTAGAATACCATCATCACCATCCAATAATACTATTCTTCAATTTTTCACCAAACTAGATCCAAATTTATTTATCAGATGTGAAAAATGTTATCGACCAATATCCAATGATAAATTAGCTGAACATTTAGAGAGTTGTAGTAATAAATCTAATAATAATTTAAGAAAAAGGAATAAGGATATTAGAAATTATTTTCAATTGGAAAATAAAAGTTAATGGTATACTTAAAATATATATATATATATATATATATATATATAATAAATTATTTTAATCTTGAAAAAAAAAAAGAGAATTTTTAAAATTTTAAAACAAAAATAACTGAATTATGAAAAATTGTGATCTAATTGACTCATTTTAATAAAGAAGAAAATTCATAAAATTGTCATTATTCTTTATATGTTGATGGATGTTCTATTGGTCTGGAGGGTATTCATGTGAGTTCTTTCATTATAAGGACATCAAGAAAGCAAGTACTGGTATACAGCTATATTTTTCTCACAGTTTCGTGGAGCCAGTAATCACAGTTGAATTTTTTCTTCCATGTTAATTCATTGGTACTCGTAAACTATTTTCAGCATAATCTAAAATCACAGTAAAAGTATCAAGAGCAGGGTCTTGTATTAAACTAGCATAGCTCAAAACATTGTCACGGGCTGAAACTTTACAATACTTTTGTGCTGTATAAATAAATTTTTTATTTAATAAGATTTAAAAAAACATTTATTTATTTATATTCGATAATTGACTCGTCGCGCTTTTGACACGTTTACAAAAGAAGAATCTTTTGCTACTCAAATATCTATTGGAAAAAAGCAAACCATTTTTTCCCTCTGAAAAATTGTTGGCTTATTGGGTTTTGACTGTAATATTAATTAGTATAATATTAATATTGATATTAGTATTAGTGTTGGTGTATTTTTATACAGATATCCAGATTTTGCAATCCAGCCAGATACAAACTCTAATTGCAAGTTTATCTGCTTCTTGGTAGCTTAGATTTCCTTAGCTGGAACTGGAATAATAAATTCAGATAAGCAATTGTCTATTAAAGATATTTTTATATTGATTAAATAATGGTCTGTAGACAATTTCCTTTTTAGAAACAGTCAGTTAGTGAGTTTTGAAGGTTTTCGCAAATAAGAAAAAAATCAGCAAAATTTTCATATTAAAATATCAAATGGAAAAAAAATTTTTATTCCAAAATTAGAATTTTTTTTTTATGCTTTTATATTATAATGTTAAAGAAGAAAACCACCAAGTATATCAGATTGTGCAAGTGCAAGAAGTAAGGGATCATCAAAAAACTGTAAATATTAAAATAATTTGCGATTAGCAACAAAAAAAAAACAAGTGATTATTAAAATTAATTGATAAAATTAAAATTATCAAACCTTGTTAGCAGAAACATCTTCGGATAAACCTTTACGTCGTCTAGTTTTAACCATAAAATCTCTTGCTAAATGTTGAGCAGGACTAGGTTCTAATGGTTTAAGTACAATTGATTTATCTAATGGATCTCCAGGAACAATCTAATTTAATAATAATAAAATGTTATTAATAATGTTGACATCATTATTTATTTCAAATGTCATTTATTAAAATTAATTCATACCTGCCAATGATCAAACATTTGTTGACAAAATGCTTGACCTTGTGTATGAGTTCTCATATCAGTTTCAAAACCATTAGCTTCTATTACTGGAATGTAAGCTTTAACAGTGTACAATGGTGAACCCGGTTTAGGAATATCTTGTGTTACATGTCCTCTAGAAGGATTTTATTTATTGAAATAATTGAATTGAACAAGTCAAAATTATGTGGGATTAAATGATTCGTTGATTGATTTATTAAATACCTTCTTCTTGCTAGGACTGTGTATACAGCCGATACACAATCTGCTGGTGCTTGTATCTCAACATAGTAAACGGGTTCCATTAATCTTGGTGTTGCCTAAATAAAGAATAGTTTAAATTAATTAATCAATTAATTAATCAATAAATCTATTATTAATCAAACATTAAATACCGTCAAGAAAGAAGAATAACAGACACGTCTTGCAGTAGGAATGATTTGGCCACCACCTCTATAAATAGGTTCTGGTGCAAGAACTGCATCCAATATTCTAAACTTTACGTTACGAATTGCTATTTATTGAAGAATTAGAACAAAGATGAAAAGATGAGGATGTGATATGTATTAGTAGAGCGAAGAGTGAAGATATATAACTGATAATTGATTGACTAACGTTCATCACATAATGGCCCTTCACGAGTTCCCCATTGAAACCCTTGTCTTACTGAATCCCTAATACTTTTTAATAAATTTTTATCCACCTATGTTATATATATATAATATCAATTGATTAGTTAATTATTCACATTAATAAAAAAATCAAATTATTAATTATTTATATATACCTCTGAAGGTAAAGTATCATCGACCAAAATATTGGGACCATTTTCATCAGGTCCAAAAGCCCATATAGAACGAGCAGCCAGTACATCCCATGAATATTTTTCTTCAAAATATTTTGCAATATCTTTGATTGGCCATTTTATACTAACTTTACCAGACTCGATATCTTCTGCTATACCTTTCTCTAACGGCTCTGCTATCATTGTTAATTTGTTCCTGTAAACAAAAAGGTTCATATTATATCACATGTGTAAAATCAACAAATCAATAATTAATTTATTTACTTTTTATTTGGGGTTTCTGCAAAACATTTCAAAGCAGAGGTATCAACCACTGTTTCACAGAATCGAACCACCGGATCAGAAACTTTAAGTTCGATTTCAGCATACATTCTACGAAGATCATGAAGGACACAATCCAGATATAATTCTCCTGTACCAAGTATTATATGTTCTCCAGATTCTTCAACCTATATATATTTAAAAAATTGGATGGAGAAAAAATACAATAATAAGAAAACTAAGTATATAAATAAATATAAATATAAATATAAATATAAATATAAGTGGTTACTTTTGTGATTAGAATAGGATAACTTTTATTTATTTTTCTTAAACCATCCAACATTTTGGGTAGTTCTGAGGGATTGACAGGCTCAACAGCCACTTTAAGTACAGCAGTAGTGATGAAAGACAATGGTCTAAAAATATATAAATCTTCATCGATATTCTTTTCAGTTATTGTTGCTGTCTTTACTATTGAATTGTCAACACCACCCAATAGTACCCAACTTCCTGCTGGCATTCCACCAACTTCAATTCTGTATCTAGATTCGAATATCCAGACATTAGTGACATCCTGTATGGTCATATCTTCCTCATCTTCTGTTGAGTAACCCTCACCAAGAACTCTTACAGATTGACCTTTTCTAATTGTACCACTCATGATACGACCGAATGCATCAAATGTTGAAGCATCGGCTGAATTATACAATTTGGTAATGTATATCATCAATGGACCGCCCGAATCACAATTACGCATTGACTCTACCACCGTTGAATCCATTGTTCCTGTGTAAATATGTTCAACCTAATGATTTTTTTCAAAGAAAAAAGTATTTATTATTATTATCAATAAAATTGTAATTATTATTATAATAAATAAAAAACATTAAAAATTAAATACTTTTTTGGCAGCGTTATCTTTTGGGGATGGAATGTGTTCAATTACCATATCCACAAAACCAATTGGAGGACCAAAAAATTGATCTAATATTATTCTAAGCAATGGTTTGACATCCAATTGAAAATGTGATGCTTTTAGGCAAATACCCAAAGATGCTAATGTACGTTTCAATGTATTTTCATCTTCCCCAATAACCTAATGTAATATTTATGTAATGTATATAGGTATACGTGAATATATATGAATATAATAAACTAATAAGTTTATATAACAAATAAAACCGTTACCTGAGCATATAATTTGAATAAAGGTTCTAAGATGAAATGAACAAAAGAGCGTTGACTATCTCTTTCAAGACTTTTTCTACTAAAAGATTTTTTTATAGGGTTATAATAAATATCACCCCATAAACGTTTTGCAAACTCGTCAGGGTCTATATCGCCTAATAAAATCGGTTATTAAATTAATCAATCAATCAATCATTAATTATTATTGATATAATTATAATTGTAAAGTTGTGCTTTTACCATAAGCATCGGAATAAAGTTTTGCAAAAGATCTTAAGGAAAAACACCATCCCATCTGACTAGAAGCAAAACATACATTTCCACGTTCAGGTGACACACGAATATCTTGACCTGGGGCGTATTGGCTAATGCAGGCATAAATTGCAAGAAAGAATGGAAAGAGGAAGAGAAAAAGGAATAAGAGAGAAATTAATTAATTAGTTTTTGTTTATTCATTATAAAAATAAACGTAATTCCAACCTAATCACTGTATTAACTTCTTCGATTGTATGTTTAAGTTTAAAGTAGGCATCATTGGGAGGCAGTCTCAATTCCAATATTAATCTATCGACTTTATTAACCACTAATGTGAATGACAATTTTTCTTGTATAATATGCTTTATTATACGCTCTGTGTTAGCCATGACCTATGTAATATATGTGAGAGATATAAATACACATTAATTATAAATAATACGCTAGTATTCTATAAATCATCAACTAAACTAACTAATTGACTAACTAACCCCTTCGATGGCATCAACAATTAGAATAGCACCATCAGCCAATCTAAGTGCAGCCGTAGCCTCGTCCACAAAATCAGCATGTCCTATTATAATTTATAATAATCGTAATTATGATTATTAAAATTCAAAATAATATTCAAATTCGCAATCATAGTTATAATATCCATCTTTACCTGGAGCATCTAGAATATTGAATAGATAAGATTTTCCTTTAGTATTTTGCAAAACAAGAGTCATTGGCATGCTTTTTATACTAACACCACGATCTCTTTCTAATATATGTGTATCAGTGTAACGTTCCTATTTTTATTTTTATTATTATTATTATTATTACTACTATTTTTATCTCCAAATAAAATAAATATAAGCAAGCAATAATGTTAATAATAATAATGCTATTTAACCTGTTTATCAACATCCCAAGCTACAGAAGTATGTGTTTCATATATCAACATATCAACAAATGATGTTTTTCCATGATGTACATGACCCACAATAGCAATATTTCTCACTAATTCAGGAAAATTCATCATATCCACTAAAAATCTATAAAAATATTATTATTATTATTATTATTATTATTATTATTATTATTGAATAGATATTAATTATTTAAATACAAATAAATTCTTATCATGTAGTAATATTACTCTTTTTTAAATTTAGTTTCAGGTAAATCTTTTTCTTGAATTTGAAATTTTTTTATTTTTATAGGTTGAATTATTGGTTCAGATAGAGGCTGAGTGTCTTCTTCTTGAACCAAAGTTTCAACTTCAAGACCATAAACTTCTTCAGCACTCGGATAATATTTCTTGTCTTCATGAAGCACAACCTGATTTGAAGGAATATCTGAAACAATTTAATTCCCCAGCTAACATCAGTTGGATATATATAAATAGTAGAAATTTTTGAAAGATCAGGATTTGAAAGAACGCACATACACATACACATGTATATGCGCGTGGATGTGTCGCATAATAAACATTATAAAGATTTTGAAAATAATAATGGGTCTTATAATGATGATAATAATGAAATTGTGAATGAATTCAATTCATCAGATAATTGCTAAAAAAATGAGAGATGATAAATAGTAAACGTATATTTACCTTCTATTTCCATTAGAGCCATGCCGGAAGTCACCTCAGTCTCTTCATATTCTTCTTGATCCTCAATTTCTTGCATTGGTTGAACAACTTGTTCTTCTTCCTCATCGGTATCAGGTAATTCTGGCCCGAGATAATTACCAAATTCATCATAAAGTGAATCATCCATTATTTGATATTGCTATTGTTGGATTTTGTTGATACGATATTTTAGAAGAAATTTAGTATAATTTATAATAGTGTGAAGATGAAGAAATTCAAAAATTTTTTTTGTTTACAAATTGATTGATTTTCAAAATTTTTTACCTTGATTGTTTTTCATCGAAATGGAAATTAATGTGACAACAATAGTAGTAGCTATATTGAGTATAAATATATTGATAGCATTGGGAGGGATGACGTTAAATAATTTATAAATTAAAAAGGTTACTGGATCCTTTGAAGGCATGAAGAAGTTTGAATTATCCAATTGTCCATAAATTAGTCCATTTTTGTATTCATACTTGATAAGTTTTGTTAGCCTATACTCAGAAAGTTTCGTGCATTATTTTAAAGAAAAAGCAAATCGGAGTAAAGGTGGAGGTGAGAACAATATTTTTTTGAAATAATTTATATTGCATGTTTTATGTATTATTGTAAAGACATGGGGGCTGTAACTTTGGATAAAGGGTCTGTTCAGGAGCATTAAAGGTTAACTGTGGAATCATAACAAATAATAATAATCAATTTATTAATTAATTATTAATATTGCCTTGTTGGTTTTTAATCTATAGGAACAAAGAAAAGTCCATAACCCATTTAATAGTATGCCATGCAGAAACAGTTGGAGGATTAGCATTTAATGAAAATATGAAGGAATTATTACAAAAATTAGTATTGATGTGAGTTGAGTGAGTTCTTGTTGTTGTTAGTATTGATTAATTGTAGGAAATAATAAATTAATATATTAGTATCAAAGAAAAGCAAGAGATAATTTGTTATTATTATTGTGATATTATGATGTCATAAAACCTTTTCATAGCATTAAATGATTGAAATGTAGGAATCTACAATAGGTGAGCAGGAAGTGGAAGCTATCATTAATATTAAAGATGAGAGATTAGACACTGTTGCTAAAGCAAATGTTACATGGCAAATAAATAATAAATAAAAATTAAGAAATTTATTATTTAATTATTTATTAAATCAGGTTTGAAAATATAACAATAATAATAATAATAAATAATTATAATCATTATAATAGTATTTAAACAAACAATCAATAGAAATATGAAGGTATAAAATTGAGTTTTAAATTTTAAAAATATTATTATTATTACTAAGATTATTATTAAGGATATTATTTTATTACCATTAACATAATATTATAGTAATAATAATAATAATAATAATAATAATAATAAACAAGTACTCACAAATAATTGGTGACAAACACAATGTTAAAGAAAATAAATAAGATTATCATAGTAAATATATAAAATCGTTTTCCCACCCTTGTATAATTACAAAGAAACTTACTATGATATAAAATGTAATGGCCATTGTCATAGTTTACTTTTTCATCATTATTATAATCATCATCATATTTCTCAATATTATCATGCAAATCTTGACTTGGATGACCAATGTAATCTTTCAGATCTTCAAGAAAATCTTTAGTTGATTAATTATTAAATAGAAGGTGCAAATTCAGGTTCTGGGAATGACAAAGGTGGATGAAAAGCTTTTGTTGATGACAACCTTGAGTGAATCAACAATAATGGAATTATCATTATCATCATAATTATGTTGATAGTCATAATGAGTGCTTCCACCCAAAACACTCCATGACTTGTTGCTTGCGCACAAATATAAGTAACTTCTATCATCATCATCCAACAAATTATCATAATTAGAAATGAAACTCCAAGATACTTGATTTTGATGATACAATTACTATTCTGAATAGGGCTCTAATGATTCGAATTACCTAGCTTTTGATTCAAACTAATCCGAGCTTATAAATGATTTTATTTGACTTTGTTCTAATCTAATTCAAATATATAATCATATGAAATAGTTTGAGTTTAAAAGAGTTGTCTTTGGAAATAAATGGTTTCGAAAGTCAAAAAAACACACACTCCACTTCCTGTTCTTCTTTGAACCACATCGCATTGTGCCTGTTGAAGAGGTATCATCTTCAACAAACGTTAAAAGAAATTTAGGAATCCGGTTTGATTCAATTGAATTGAATCGAGCCACGAATCGAGTTGAATCGAACCAAGTCGGATTGAACCCAGTTTTTTGGAATTTGATTCGTTCAGAGCCTTAGCTCTGAAGGAGTGAAGAAAACGAGAATGAGAAATTTGCAAGTTGTAAAATTATAAATTGAGAGAAAAAAATTAAGTTGGAAAAATAAAAAGTGAGTCAACGTATTTTTTACTGACTACTGTTTAAAAAATTTTTTATTATTGTCATTGATTATTTTTTGAATAAATGCAGACCATTTTTTCAATTTGAATTGAATATGGTCTAAATTCAATGTTATAATAATTCTTGAACAATGCTTTAATTCCAGAAATTCGTTTTTTTTGATACACGATCAAGAACAAAGGTATTTTATTGGTAGCACGTGACACTAATAAATCCATCAATACTCATGGCTTCCGATCTTTTGTACTCTTCTAAAACTGCCCTAGAAATTTTTAATTGAGAATAATTCAAATCAAGGGTCTGTAGTTTTTCTAATCAGGGTGCAACGTACAAGAAACATACTTTCGTCAACGTTCAATGCTATGTCAAATCACTGAATTTTATGAACAGTCAGAGCAAATGCATTCTGAAAAGGAAATTTTTTTCTCTGCCGTAAATTTCAAAATAAGATGTTTCTTTCT